CAATTTAGCTATGATAGTAAATAATGCTATGATTCATCTACATAAAATAGGTTTAGCTGTACAATGTCTTGTTTGTGATCAAAGCTTGAATAATATAAAAGCTCTAAAATTTTAAAGGATTTTCATTATTAAATCAACAAATTTTACATCCAAATACAGGAGCAAAAGTTTATATAATATTTGATCCACCACATCTTATAAAAAATGTTAGAAACAATTTAATAAAACATGACATTTTATCTGATGGTAAAATAATATTGTGGAAGCATCTGGAATAACTTTATAATTTAGACAAGGTTAATACTGTGCAGCTTGTGCCAAAAATGACAGATTGTCATTTAGATCCTGGATCACTATTAGCCATGCGAGTAAAATTGGCAACACAAATTTTTAGTAGTCAAGTTGCTATTGCTTTGACTGAATATGCTTCTGCAAAACTATTGCCTGAAAATGTTTTTTTAACATCCTTTTTTATTAAAAATATGGATATTTAATTTGACATCTTGAACTCTCATAAACTAAAAGCAGATAAATCAACACGCTCTGCTTTAACTCTAAATAGCAGTTTTATAGAAAAGCTTTAAGATTTAAGAGTTTAGATTAAGGGTTAGCATTTTTCTGGTGCTCACAGCCAAAAAAAAAAATATCCAGCCATTAAGGTTTAGATGTCACTATTTCTAATATTCTTTGTCTCGCAAACAAGTTGCTCATGAGGATTTTTTTTAAGCTCAATTTTTGCACAGCTCAATTTAATCAGGACTGTTTAGAAATTTTTTTTGCATTGATACAAAACAAAGGAGGCTGGAATGACAGATCAACAGCAATTCAGTTTAAATCAGCATATAAAAATGTCTCAGTACTCCTTTCATTAGAACAACCTAACTCTAACAGTAATTGTCTCCCTGAATCAGATTTCTCAGCTGCAGTTACCAGTGACTCAATCACCAATATAGTATTTGAGAATGAAATTTCTGCAAATGAACAATTGACTTTCAAACAGCCAACTGTATTATTTAAAAAGAAACAAAAACCTTATGCATTAAAAAATGTTTCCACTGATTCAGTTTCACAGTCAATTAAACAGGTTTTGAAGTTAATTGCAGATGATTTGATAAAGAAAGTTCAAGTCTGTCAAAAATGTGTACAAGTTCTTTCAAGTGTGGCACCCTGTGAAAATAAATTATTTAATTCTGATTCTTTTTTATAAAACCTACTTCACAAAATGGAAACTGTTTTTATAACGCATATAAAACTTTTAACTAAAAAATTAACTAAAAAAAACATTATACAACAAATTATTAAAGTAATAAAAAACAATTGCAATTTTACATTTCTTTATGATGAACATATTGATCATGCTTTTTATTTAGAAGAAAGTTTAAGCAGACACTATGTTTATATGAGAATATCTTATTATATAAGGTTTTATAATCGTGATCTGGCACCACGAAACAAGACATGTAAAAACAAGTTAGCTCGCATTATCCATGCTTGATTTTATTTTAATGATAATTCTTGAAACAAAATATTTCTTATCTATAATCATTTTCTCTCTCAGTATTATTAACTTTTTATTTACTATTTAGCATCTAATTAAGGGGTATATATTTAAACTAATATGAAACGAATACAGTGGTAACATGATTAAAAAGACTTATGCAAAATATGTTAAATTTACATCAAGTTTTAACTGCGTCAGCATATTAATGTTAGATGTTTTATAAATGTTATATAAGCAATGTTATTAAATAGTTTTAAAATTATTTTAATTTATAAAAGAAAAGTTCATAAAGACTACAATAGTCACATGCTTGGCCTGGGCATTTACATTTGTAAGAATTCACCCATTTGTCAGGAAACTAGGTTTGAATCCACCAACTAATTATTTATGTGCTTTGGTTTAGCATCTCTTCACTCTATTGCCTTTCTCATTGTTCTATGTCACTCTCCTTCATCTCAAGGCTGCACTCTTTTCGATGTTATATCTGATCAAATTGACCGAGCCCTCTCTTTTTATCCATCAGCCAATATCATTATTGTTGGTGTTTTTAATGCTCATCACACTGAATAGCTTGGCTCTTGTGTCAGTGACTCTGCAGGCATTAAGGCTCACAACTTTTGTCTTTCTCTATCTCTTACTCAAATAGTAAACTTTTCAACTCGCTTTCTAGACAACCCAAATCATTTACCTTCTCTACTTGACTTATGTCTTATTTCTGATCCTAGTCAGTACTCAATTTCTCCACATTCACAATTAGGTGATTCTGATCATGGTTTGATCTCTCTAAAACCATTATCTCATTCTTCTTCATCATCAAAATCCCCTATCATGGTACCTTTTACAACTACCTTAAAGCTGACTAGGACTCTTTCCGTGATTTTCTCTGTGATGGCTCTTGATTAGAAATCTTTCGCCTTCTTGCTAACAAATGTGCTTCTTATGTAACTTCTTGGATTCAGGCTGGAATGGAATCTTTTATTCCCTCTCAATGATTCCAAGTTAGGCCTCACTCTCCTCCATGGTTTCCCTCACATTGTGCTGCTCCAATTTCCAATTGAAACCATTACTTCTATATCTACCAGCAAAACAATTCTCCAGAATACAGACGTCTGTTTACTATTGCTAGAAACCATTGTAAAAAGGTTTTTTCTAATGCCAAAGCCTACTATTTTCAGGTCAAGAAATCTCGTATTTTATCTAAAAAATATCATGACATCTGGAGAATCTTTAACAGTATCAATAATAAGGGCAAATCTGTTATTCCACCTCTCTTGTATGGTTCAGATTTTGCCACCTCACTTAAAGACAAAACTGAATTGTTTGCTAAGAACATTTCATCATCATATCATCTCTTGATTCCACTAGTTGCGTTTTATCTGATATAGCCAACAAACAGGTTGATCAATTGCTTGACTTTCATATCACTCCAGCTTCTGTATTTAAAGTGATTTCCTGCTAAGACTGCTTCTACAGCTGGTGGTCTAGACAACATACCTGTTATAGTCTTGAACGTTGCAAAAGACATTATACTGTTAATAAAGCAAGTGGTTCTATAGAACATTGCAAAAGACATACTGTTGATAAAGCTAGTGATTGAATAGAACTTTGCAAAAGACATTGAAAATTTAATTACTAAGACAGAAAGTATACAAAAACAATCATGATAAGGTATTACTTTTAAATGATAAGGTTTAATTTTTAAAAGTTAATACAAATGTAAAACCCTGTTGCAATAAATGCGTTTGCAGTAGGTGTTATTTAAAACCTAAATATGTTCAAAATGATGAAAAGTAATCTGAAACTACTACTGGCAACTGGCAACAAAAGTAATAAAGAGGCTGTAATTAATTGGCGAAATATTTAGAAAAAAAACTTGCAACAAATAACATGAAAACAGGTATGTGGTCAGGGGCTATTCTAGGACAAAAATTTGGACGGCGGAACACCTTGCCCCAGTGAAATTTAGCAGAAATATTGCAGAATATCGTTTTTTTGTGAAAAAAAAAAATTGTTGTAAAAAATAAAAATAAAAAAAAAAAAGTCCTTATTTTTAATTTGGGCAGTGCCCAAATATAGTTGACGCTGTTGAAAAAAGTCTTGAATAGCCCCTGGTGGTAAAATAGCACAATATTTAAACAAAAGATATGTGATATTTACAATTTTAAACTAAAAACCTGTTTTAATTTAAAATTAAATCACTTTTAGGAGAAGAATGTCAAGCAATACCGGACAATATGATGTACAATACAATAGTTGTAACAAAAAAGAAAATAATTCATAAAAAAATATTATAAGTTTGAAAATTTGAGATATCATCAGAGTTTCTAAAGCAGCTGAAAGGTATAGAGTACCTAAAAGAGCAGCAGCATCAATTAAAAGATAATTTTGATATTTTGGTTAAGTACAGTACAAGCCAAGACCCAGATAATAAAAAAATTGTAAGGTACAGCTGAAAAACATTATTGGAAAATAAGATTTATTTTTTTTGATGGCAGAAAATATTAAAGTAGCTATTAGATACACACAAATTAAGGATTGTAGTTGCATCAACAAACTTCAAAATAAAGCTTCCTGTTAACAAACCAAACATTAAATCTAGAAGATGGCTTTAAGATGGCTTCATGTTATCATAGGGTCTTGATAAATTATTCTTTCTTTTGTGCAAAGCTTTCTTAACAAAAAAAAGCTCTTTTAACAATTATTTGAATGAGTGTTTTTGTTTAAATCGTAAAAAAAAAAAATTCTTTCTAACAAAAATCTGTTTTACTTAAAATCTAGTTTGGTTATACTACATGCTTTTTCAAGGTTTTTTTAATGCTTTTTTAAATATTTTTTGTGGGCCTGTGCTGTAAAATGTTGTGTGAACCAATTGTATTACTCAGCCACTTCAAAGCAATACTTGCTAGCACTCGAAAGGTTTTACAAACCATTATAAAATTCACATTAAAAAAAAAAACTAATATTTTTATATTCCTTATTGTTACACAACATTTCAACTCTGTTTTATTTCTTAATTTAATCTATAAATACTACAATGGGCACTGCTCTAAAGAGCCAGAGCCTCTTCTGCTCATTCAATTAAGTCTCATCCTTTTACTGTGTCTGTTCCTAAGTGTTCCCAAAAAAATTCTTATTCATCTAGTTTTTTCCTTGAACATCAGTTCTTTAGAATTCCCTTTTTTCATCTTGTTTTCCTAATTCATATAATTTGCAATCTTATAAGTCATCTGTCAAACATTATCTTGCTCTATAAACTTCATCTTTTCTCTTCCAGTAACTTCCAAATCTAATAGTGGTTGCTTGCAGTCTTGTTGAAAGTGGTTGAAAAAAAAAAAAAAAGTTTGGTCCTTGAGCATTAGCATATTAAAACATGTGTATCCAAAAATTACTTTATACAAAAGTCTATTAAACATGTATGTACAACAACCTTTATGTACAATTAGCATTTTTTACATCACTATTTTATTATTTCCTGAACTTGAACAATTTATAAACCTACCTGATTAAGCGATACAATTTTATATTGGAAAGAAAGTTCCTTGAGTGTTGACGATAACTTCTTAACAGCTTCATCCAAAGTTAAGGAAAGATTAAAACGAGTCATGCGCTTTGCAAGATGTGCCATTGGGTTCTAAATTTTATAAAATAATAAAACATTTACTCAAGATATATCTATTAAAGTCTTACAGCATATTTCTATCAAATATCAAGAAAGAAAAATTATTAGCCCTCATGTAAGACTAAATATCATATTTTAAAGTACCTGTGAAGAACCAGGTGTTAGAGATATTTGACTAAGTAACATATCCTCAATATTAACTGGTTGAGAATACCAAATGCCTTGCTGTTCTTCCCTAATCTCTTGAAGTTCATAATCTGAAGAAGTGCATGATGGGATGGGTTGAGAAGAGGAGAAATTGCTAGCATAAAATTTGATTTTAGTTGTTTATCAATATAAAACATTATGTAATATGTATTACTACAGCTTTATATATTTGATGTAAATATGATAAAATAAAAATAAGATATTATGATAAAATAAAAATAATAAAATTATATATTTGATGTAAATATGATAAAATAAAAACTCTGTCTTATTAACTCTAATAAGACAGAAATAAGACAACAAAACATACCTGACTAACTTACTATTAACTGATGTTGAAACAGATCGATCACTTGAACAATGCTTTTTAAGTGACGAAGTTTCGAAGTTCGTAAGACCATTAAGTGGGCTTTTAGTTTTCAATGATCCGTAATTTCTAAGTAATCAAAATATGTTTATATACCAACTACAAATAAATAGATATAATGTATAAAAATATAATATAATATAATATAAACAATGTATAAATAAGAATTATATTTAGAACTACTTGAACTTTCTGGTATTATATATAGTTTTAAAGATAAAGTTTGCATAAACTTTAATTTTAGCAGCATACTAATTTCTTTATAATTAAACTTTGATATTAGAAATATATACATAAAAATTTTCTGATAATGGATTGCAAGGAAACCCTTATTGATTGGAGACCTGCATAATTGAACAAATTCTTTAGATGTTTCTTTAAAAAATCCTACTTCAAATTTTGTAAACTTTAACTTCTAGCAGACAATGTCTTTTCTCAATACTTCTGTTTACATGTTTGCAAGGGTTGGATAGTATTTTGGTATTATACTATATTGTAGACATAACTGGATAAAGACGTTATACCGCAAAAATTTTCCACTTTTATTCACAGATTAAGGTTTCACACATGAATTTACACACTCTTTCACATTAAATTAAAATATCTTACAAAAATGTGTCAAAATACCATTTGCACAGATGATGATGGAGTTATGTTACACATCAACTCACCCACATCATACATCGTGAGTGAAATATTATACAACTATATTACTCAATGCTTGATTTAAACATTCAATAATTGCTTGAGCTACTCCACTAGCTCAAGCAATTATTGCCATTAAAAGATTAAAAAATTTTGATTGATAAAATGATTCGATCCCCTGCAATACATGGCTTCCCTGCAATATATGGCTTCTTATTGGCAGAGTATTTTTTATAATTAATTGCTCAAACTTTTTTGCAATGTAATATTTAAATAATAAAATAGCCTTACTGAAACTTGTCTACATCAAACATGTGTGAAACTATGGTCATTAAACTAAAGAGAAAATAAAACATACCCATTAAACCATTTATCTTTTTTAATTTCAGCTATAGTATATCTTTTCGATGGAACAGGATGCAGTAATTTCTTTAAAAAACCTATAAATAAGAAATGCTTTTTTTCTATGATATTGTTTTTTATCTTTAAAAAAATATCATTTTTATTTCTTTTTATATTTACAAAATGTTACACTTTTTTTCTTATTGTAACAAATAATTTAAATTTAAAAATCATCCACTAATTCTAGCGGATGATTTCATCCACTAATACTAATTTTAGCTAATAATTCAGTAAAAAAAAATTATGACAACTATTTGTCTTTTGGTGAGTAAATTTGATTTTTTATCAACCAAATGATATATGAGTAAAAACCAAATGGTATATGTAGTAAAAAACTTTCACAAAAAATTAATTTAACAACAAAAAGAAAATTAACCAATAGAAGTAGTATTTAATTTGTTCCATGGTGTGTGGATTAGCTTTGAGTGTGACCAGTCAAGATATTCTTTACAACTTTCTATTGGTTCATCCCATGGCAATTCTTAAAAAAAATACTCTGATATACTATTAATAATGTCTGGATATTTTTACTTTTAAAAAGGTCTGTCAAATCTATATAAAAATTACTTACCTCCGGCAAGCATAGCTGTAAGGACTATACCACATGACCAAATATCTGCAGGTTCAGCTTTATACTCCTTTTTCTGTAACACCTTTTTGTATAAATTATATATATATATATATATATATATATATATATATATATATATATATATATATATATATATATATATATATATATATATATATATATATATATACAACAACCGCAATGATAATTTTATATTTAATGTTGCAACAAATTTTATTTATAATATAAT